TGGCTGTGTGACTTTGTGTCTGACACATTCATATGCAAATAACTAATCTGCGAAACAAATAGGGGCGGAGACAAACCACTCAAATGTTTGGAAACACTAATTGTGTGTCAGATAGCTACTGATAACACATCCTAACATTGCTTTGTCTTGAGTTTATCTTTGAAACTTATAGGCACCATAGACCCTCTAAAAGAGGGTCTATGTAGGCACACAGATTAAACCTGTGTTGTTGATTTTGGAAAACACTACTGAGGCTGCCTTGCTTCCTTCAGAAAATCTACATTTTAACCAACTTACATGACATTCTATGTTCTGTTGACTTTATCACATGAAAGTTTATAGTGCATTTCATCAATTAATAAATAAATGTGAAAATCGTAATTTTCAACACAAATAATAGTCTCGCTACCTTAATTAGCGTCATGCTAGTTTATATTACCCGGATATTGCCTTTGACTTTATTTCCCATAGAAACTAGACACATGTATCCTGTGCACCTTATTGTGTGCAGGTGGTTGTCTGCCAAAAACAAAACTATTATGTCACCGGTATATTTAAAGATCCAAACATACTGCTTTTTGGTTTATGCACACTTCTAATGAAACAAATACCGAGCATGTACACCATGATTAGTGAAAAGACCTACAGTACAATCTGAGTGCAACTTGACATTTATCCTAGTTTTAAGCTGCCTTTCAAAGCCACCAGTGTATTTCTAAATTTTGCTGAGTAATCAGTCTAAATATGTATCGTATTAGTAACTTGACAAAGACTCTCACTTAAGTTATAGGAGAAGAACATGCCGGCTGAGAGACAACTTAGTTATCCATTTGAACATTTATAGTAATTTTTCACCAGAGACAGCTGTTTAAAGTACTAGTCATGATACAAAATAGGTCCCATGCGATGTATACATATACAAGGAGTGTAAAATACTGTAAATTGGTTTAATTTTATGAGCGACAATTATTCACGAATGTCTTGAGTTAGATATTTATGACAGCGAGTTGTTCATCAACGTTCATGAAATTTTATCCTTACAAATGCCTTCAATGTATCAAACTGCGAAAATTGAAAACAGCGAAAATAAAACAGTTCAGAGGTGAACGATTAGAAACTCTTAAAGACGGGAGGTGACAGTATTTAAATCATGCAAGGATCTATAACAGAAAGAATATCCTGCATGCCTATATTTTAAAGAAACAAGCAGCAAAGCACATTTCAATTAAAGAACTGAAGATACATGTATCACTAGAAAATGAACAATATGTATAGTATCAATGCAATCAGACTTACTGTTTTTAATAAGAATTCAAAAATGTCACTTTTTACCAAAACTGACAAAAATATATTCAAAATTAGATAATTGAAATGAACAAATCTGCGAGAGGTCTATCTGAGGTACCTATATGTATAGTATCAAAGCAATCAAACTTGCGGTTTTTAAACTTTTAAAATTAGAGAATTTGAGATATGATCACAAAATGAACAAATCTGAGTGAGGCTTATCTGTAGTACCTATATATATAATTATATTATACCAGTATATTGATGGTGTTAATCCATTGATTTGATTGGTCCAAACACAAAATTTGCATATGCAATCCATGGTATATTGGCTGATAATGCACGGCTAAACCAAGTGGCCCTGGAACATGAATTGACTACAGGTTTAATACGGAAATACATAAAACCGGTATTATTTGATTTTTAGGGAAATATAGTGGTTGAATTTTAGAAGAATATTGAAAAAAATACTGAATTAAAAACATCTGAAAAGTTATATAACTATAATATTGCTTTTTGTTAATGGTGGGATCCAAGTTGTGAGCGTCGG